TGGGTCTTGTAGATTCAGAGCGGTGACAAGTGGTAACTGGCGACAAATTGGTTGCGACATTTAGTTCCAACAATTTTGACGGGGAGTAAGGCAGTTCCTGGCGGGATCCAATCGACCGGCAGATCGGCGGGCGAAATCGCCGCACAAGCGTGGTCACTTATAATAGTCTGAGTTTTTGTGGGGGAGCGGCTTTTTAGGCCTGACAGTTAGCAATTTTCCTGATGTTCGCATCCTTAGAGGTGGACGGTTCCAAGTCTGGGAAAAAAATCTCCAACAAAAAAACGGCCGATTTTTTTGGAAATTGGCCGTAAAATACGACCGTAAAAAACGGCCCGTATAATACGACAACCGTATTTTTAATCCTTGGTCACGCGTCACGCATGGCACAAGGTCTCACACACATTAAGTTTAATCCAGGGTTTAGGGTTGTTATGCATGCCTTGTTATGTTCATGCATGCCTTGTTATGAAATGTTGGGGGGGCTGGTTTACAATGTCGAATTTGGCTTTGGGGGTCGAAATTTCGCGATTTCGACATTCGCGCCGAAATCACGAATGTCGAAATCGCGGCTAAACCCTAAAAAAAATTTCGGGCTGCCCGAAAAAAATTTCGGCGTGCCTCCTGCGTCTGGACGCGCGTCCTGCGTCCTAGCGTCCGGACGCTGCGTCCAGACGCAGGACGCAGCGTCCTGGCTGCGTCTTTCCTAACATAGGTGGTGGGGGCGGGCGGAGGGAAGAGGGGAGGCAGGGCAAGGGTTGTTTCGGTGGGGGGAGGGAGGATGGGGTGGACCAGATTCCTCCCCCCATGCTGTACGTGCCGGGCCTGCACTTGCGGCACTTGTCCCCGTGCAGGTAGGAACCAGCGGGACAGGTCCTGTGGGGCAGAGGGGAGAGTGGAAGGGGTGGGTGGGAGGGAATGGAGGGTGGGGTATGGTATGGTATGGTATGGTATGGTATGGTATGGTATGGTATGGTATGGTATGGTATGGTATGGTATGGTATGGTATGGTGAAGTGTGGTGTGGTGTGGTGTGGTGTGGTGAGGTGTGGTGTGGTGTGGTGTGGTGTGGTGTGGTATGGTGTGGTGTGGTGTGGTGTGGTGTGGTGTGGTATGGTGTGGTGTGGTGTGGAGTGGAGTGGTATGGTGTGGTGTGGGTGTGATGTAGTGTGGCGCGGTATGGTACGGTACGCCACGGTATTGTATGTATGTTATGATATAACACACACTGTGGGAAAAGTATCCAGATGGTTCAAACATTTGCCACATACAGCAGGGGATGTATCCAGGCGATGGTAGCGCCACAGAGCGAGCCATGTGCAGTGCGTTGTGGTGGATTGATGAGGTTCAACCGGACCCACCACACAACTCCCACCCGACCCACCACACAAGTCCCAGCACACACACATACAGCAGGGGATATATATATCCAGGCAATGGCAACTTATTCAGGCGCCTCAAAGGCCGCCTCAACACACATACAGCAGGGGATGTATCCAGGAGATGGCAGCGCCAGAGCGAGCCATGTGCAGTGCGTTGTGGTGGATTGATGAGGTTCAATCCAGCCCACCACACAAGTCCCAGCCCACCACTCAACACCCAGCACACACACACACATACCGCAGGGGATGTATCCAGGCGATGGCAGAGCCACAGAGCCATGTGCAGTGGGGTTGCAGCCGCTGTCAAAGTAGTATATCACCTGGTCAGGGTGGTTAGGGTGGTGTGGGGTTGGTAGCAATAAGGATGAAGCGATGGTGATGGAGTCTGGTCGCGAAGGCAGCGCCACAGGGCCATGTGCGGTGGGGTTGCAGCTACTGTCAAAGCTATGTTGGAATATACGCTCAGACCCTAAAGCGTGTAGCGTTTACTCGCTTGCGTTTATACTCAAAACGCTATACGCTTACTAATACGCTATACGCAGTCAGATTTTTTTTGGGCTGCCCGAGAAAAAAAATCTTGTGTATACGGAAAGATGCGGAATCTCCTGGTGAGCATTTCGCCGAAGTCGAGCTGCATTTCGGTGGTCTAGGGAAGCGGGAATCTGCCTTCAAAGTTATCAGGCACGTCTGGCAATTCAGATCTACAATTTCAATTAGTACCACATTGAAACCCTTCCCATCTACGAACTCCAACCTGTCAAATGTCCCCCCAACAAACCTCCTCCACTCACGCTACTTACCAGCCAGCCCAACTTCACTCGTCATTTCTAGTTTTCTTTCCCGCTTCCAACAGAGGTCATTCCGATTCCTACTCCTTCTAGCGATAATGTTTACTACACATCCCACCCCAATCGCCGTTCAGATTTAGGAAAATGCTACGAAAATCTTAGTTAGAATAGGGATTATCTTCCCGATGTTGAGCACGACGGTTTTTTCATCCTGCCCGGGAAATTTTTTCCCCTGCCCGAAAAAGCGTATGTCCAACCCGACCCCTGAGCGTATAGCGTATACACGATAGCGTATATACGATACGCGTATATACACTAAACGCGTATATTCCAACATAGTGTCAAAGTAGTTAATGACCTGGTGGTCAGGTGCGGGTGATGTGGGGTTGATGTGGAGGGGGGGTGATGTGAGGGTGGTGATAGTGATGGCGCCGCTGCAGGCAGAGCCATGTGTGGTGGGGTTGCAGCCACTGTCAAAGTAGTTAATGACTTGGTGGTCAGGTCAGGGTGATGTGAGGGTGATGTGAGGGTGATGTGAGGGTGATGTGAGGGTGATGGTGATGGCTGTGCCAATGTTGATGTTAGTGTTGCAAACACTTCACAATATGGCATAGCTCCTCGGATGTAGTCGCACTTGCCATGGATGGTGCGCATGTTGCCCTCCCCACATGCATGCCACCATCACTACCACGTGTTATCACTTGTTACCGCATGTTACCACGTATTTCGACGTGCCTGGATGGTCTTCTCTTTGCTTAAAGGCTGGTTGGAGGCGGGGTCTCGGATGTAGTCGCACTTGCCATGGATGGTGCGGATGTTGCCCTCCCCACATGGCACCGGGGCTAGCTCTGCAACAGATCATATTCCATGCATCATGATATGAGCATGGGGGGATGTATGCAGTGAATGCATAAATTTGGGTGCCTGAGTTGAATGCATATTCTGGAGGGTTTTAGATGCGGGCATGGATGGATTTGCATACAGGTATGCACATATGGCAGACACACATGCGTGCACGCATGCGTGCATACAGGTAAGTCTATGGCAGCAGAGCCAGCTGTGAATGAAACTCAAGTAGCATGCTGCATGCACACAAACACTCGCAAAGCTAAGAATCGATTTAGCACTAAGAACGTAGAAGAGTGCTTACCACAGAAGAGTGCTTACCACAGAAGAGTGCTTACCACAGAAGAGTGCTTACCACAGAAGAGTGCTTACCACAGAAGAGTGCTTACCACAGAAGAGTGCTTACCACAGAAGAGTGCTTACCACAGAAGAGAGGGTCGGCTGGAATCTCCCAATTGGAATCCCCCCCTCACAGTCTGTTGGCATTGAGCAAATGAGATATATACAGCATAACATATTGCAGATTTAGCTTAGACAAAGTGCAACTGGAAGCGAGAACAACCAGGACTACAAGACAGGGTTTGGAGTAGTTGTTACATTACATATCAGTCACATAGGGACAATTGGGCGTGCTTCAAGTACCTGAGGATTTTTCAAAAGTGGTATCGTGCAGTTGCAGCTGTTTACCTATTAGTCACATAGGGGCAATGGGCATTGCAAACTTCTAGGGTCACTGGGTCCGTCCGTCAATCCTTGCTGAAAACCCCCTAACCAATTTTGCAGGTGGTACGAAATCAACCCAAAGGGAGGGCAAATCCAGGTCATATAGTCAAGGGCAGGATTCAGTTTTCCCAAAGGAAATGAATTTGGATTTGCACTTGGATTTTGATCGTGATTTCGGTTTGTGGGGAAAAACCAATACATACTGGATGGTTGGTAGGTAAGGGTGCCGGAGCCGTTACATGTCACGATGACATTCTTGCGCTTGAGAATCCTCAAACGCCATGCCAACGGTGGAGGAGCTGTTATCTGCCACGATGGCGTACTTGCTATGAGTGTTGAGCACTCAGCGGTGATTTCTGAGTCGACTCAAAAGTCACGCTGGGCTGGGATTCAACAGGTTTTCATTATGTACGTACTGGTGGGCTGAAAGGAGAGGGTGCAGGAGCCGTTATCTGACTTCACATACTTGCGCTCATAGTCCTCTGGCGTGCAGTCTGCATGGGAGGAGAAACAAGGGCGCACACACAGACGTGGTCACATGGGTACGGTCTAGCAACTAGAGCATTGCCAGGTGATTGCCAGCCTCTGGTGTGTGTGTGTGCAGTTATTTCGTGTGCAGTCATTTCGTGTGCAGTCATTTCGTGTGCAGTCGTTTGGTGTGCAGTCTCCGTACGTGTGATACCACGATATCAATTTGGGCCCAGGTTTGACGTACACACTTGAATATATACCACCGTATCATCTGGGTTGAAGCTTAGAGCACATACTCAAACTGATTCTGTTGGTCCCTCCCTAAGCCCTAAAACTGTAGATCCCTAAACCTGAAGCCCTGAAACCACGGTCCACCAGCTCATCAGCCCATTCCATGTGCCAGAGCAACTCACTGAAGGGCTTAGGTCGGTGCAAGAGGTGCAGCTGGCTGGAAGGGGTGGGTTTCCAGGCGCCCCAGAAGTAATTCATTTCAATGGCCAGAGCAACTCACTGCATGATTCAGGTCGAGGCAGGAGATGCAGCTGGAAGGGGTTGGCGTAGTTGGCTTCTGAGGCGCCTCAGAAATTCATTCATTCATATATGCCAGAGCAGCTCGCCGCAGGGCTCGTGTCGATCTTTTGAGACGTTTAAAATTTTCACTTCTCTCACGTGTTAAGACGTCTCTGTGATTCATTCATATATGTCAGAGCAGCTCGCCGCAGGGCTCGGGTCGAGTTTTTAAGACGTCACAAAAAATCACTTCTTTCACGTTTTGAGACGTCTCAGTGACTCATTCATATACGCCAGAGCAGCTCACCGCAGGGCTCGGGTCGAGGAGAGAGGTTCAGCGGGAAGGGGTCGGAGCAGTTGCGGGCCTTGTTAAAGTAGATGCGCCGCGTGCCACCTGCAGAAGCAATGGTGGGCGCAGAGGAGGGAGTGAAACATGGGTTCATTCGTACGGGAAGGGGTCGGAGAAGTTGCGGGCCTTGTTGAAGTAGATGCGCCGCGTGCCACCTGCAGAAGCAATGGTGGGCGCAGAGGAGGGAGTGAAACATGGGTTCATTCGTACGGGAAGGGGTCGGAGAAGTTGCAGGCCTTGTTGAAGTAGATGCGCCGCGTGCCACCTGCAGAGGTGGTGGTAATGGGGTGCGGGGGGCAGAGGCGGGGGAGATGGTATGGAGAGATGGAGGAGCAGGGGAAAGCAGGAGGCCTTGAGGGAAGGTGTTGGTGCAGTTGCGAAGCTTTGTTCAAGAAGATATGCCGATTGTCATTGGCAGGGAAGTCACACTGGAAGAAATACATGGAACGTCTAACTGAAACCCCATCTCACCTTGACACGGACACACGGAATGATCTTCTTGAGCCTTCACCCATGGCAGGGGCCGGAAACTCTGGCACAGTCCGACAGCTGGCACACCAGGGAGCTAGGCTCAGGAACAACAAAATGCTCTCATCTCGAGGTTTCTCTCACCTTTTGCACAAGGACGCAACATTACGCTCTTCTTGCACCTCAACTCACCTTGGCAAGGGCCGGATACTCTGGCATAGTCTGAAAGCTGGCACACCAGGGAGCTAGGCTCGGGGACGGCTGGCAGCAGCTCCTCGCCCTCTTCCGAACCTAATTCAGGTGCTTTGGATGGAGGTTCGGAAGGAGGTCCAGAGGGAGGTTCAGAGCGTGGTTCGGAGGGCGGTGCGGCGGATGGTTCAGGAGCAGGTGTTAGGGCAGGAAGGGATGGTTCGGCAGGCGATGATAGTGGAGCGAGCAGGGATGGCTCGGCAACAGGCTCGGGAGGCGGATGTGAAGGCTCGGCAGCAGGTTTGGAAACATGCTTGGAGGCAGGGAGGGAAGGCTCGGCAGTTGGTTCAGCAATTGGAAGCTGAGACTTGGCAACGGGCGCAGCAACTGGTGATGGTGCTGATGATGGTGATGGTGATGTTGATGATGGTGCTGATGTTGATGCTGGTGCTGAAAATGCTGGTGGTGATGGTGATGCTGATGGTGCTGATGATGCTGGTGGTGCTGGCTGTGACAATGCTGGAGGTGAGGATGATGGTGATGATACTGCTGGTGATGATGATGGTGGTGAGAATTCTGGTGATGATGGTGGTGATTCTGCTGCCGCTGATGGTGATGGCGCCACTGGTTTGAATGCTGACGCTGATGCTGGCACTGTACCACCGACTCCACCGGATGCCGTCCCTCGTACTACCTCCCTTGACATTGTAGACCCTGTCCCTCCAATTGACTCTGTTGACCCAGTTGAACCTGTTCCATTTGTTGACCCTGTCCCAGTTGTTGTCCCTGTCCCGCTTGATCTTGTTCCTGTTGTTGACCCTTTTGACTCCTTCCCTGGTGGCGTTGACTCTGTTGACCTTGCTGACCCAGTAAATCCTGCTGCTGCTGCTGATCCTGATGCTGCTGCAGGTGCAGCTTCTGTTGCTGTTACTGTTGCTGTGACTGCTGCTGTTACTGTTGCTTCCGAAAAGGCAGCGACGTGCCAGTGCGATGCTGAAAGAGCCAGCAGCACTAGCAGCACGAAGAGGTTCGGCACCCGCCACGTCAGCAGCTCCATTCTACACGAAATGCGGCACGGATGCATAACGGTAACGGGTCGGCCTTTATTTGTTCCAAACGATGCTCTTAAAAGCCAGAGGCGATGAGTTGACTCGAAAATGTTCCAAGCGAGGTTAAAGAAGATACCTGACGGACAGGGAACGGGTGCTAAGAGATTGAGAAGATTTGGTCAAGGGACTAATGCCAGAGGCAACGCGACCGCGCGAGTGATACCAGAAAGGTTCGTTACGCGTTTCGAGACATCTCTAAACTCTAGGCAAAGAGGAGGCGACTACAAGACGAAATTAACCTAGGAATTTGATCGTAGAATCATCTGGAGACGCGACGGGAGCCCGCTTGAAGTTCCAGTTTCCAGATGCGTTGCGACGATACTGCCGTCACGCAATGTTGCTCGCTCGAGCTGTAACGCATAACAACCGGTTCGCCTAAATAACACCCTCGCTTTGGCAGTGGATATCGGGACGTTATACTACTACTCGTCAAAGGACAATGCTCTAGCCGTTAAGTGAGAATGCTCTACTAGCCAGCAAGCGAGAATGCTCTAGCCGTCAAGCGGCATCACGTTCCGCGTTTGACGCGAGCAATGATGCCACATTTACCATGTGGCATCATTGCTCGCGTCAAACCCGTCGTAAGACGGGCTTATAAAAGAACGCACTTAAAATCACAAAAAAAAAACCCGGGCTTATAACAAATGCCCACAAAAGGGTCTATAATAAGGTGTTGGAATTATCGATAGGTTATCATAACATTCCCAAAGGTTCTCTTCTAGTGCACCACCTCATAGCGAAGCAGTTTCACTGCACCAGTATCGCAACATGCTCGTAAATGTTACGAATATTGAAATACTATTGTGCACTCCTAACCGCAGCTAAGTGAAACACGCAGTATCGGGGATGAACACGAAGAGTCAAAGTTGACTCGAAGCGTCAGACACAGACGGTTGGGAAAGATCTGGACTGTCGGAGCAGACGGCGTCGGACACCTGCAGGTTCGAGGGAATTGGCGGGAACAGTTTCGTAACTGTTCGAGTCGCACGGTTGGTTTGAATTCGAATAAGGGAATGTACCCCTTAGAGTACATGGCTAAACCCGCAGCCTGAATTACAAAAAAAGTTGGGAGGTGTTAACACCTCACCTTCCGGACCAACACCTCCCCTCCCGAACCAGGGTGGTTACCAGGTCTCCATCTGCAAAACGTGAGAGAAGTCGCAGGCAGCACAAGGAAGGGTCGCTCGGTTCCTGCGCAACCACTCTAGCTGTGGTGTGCACACCAAACTCTGTCTTGTAATTCAGGTCGACAGAAAATGCCTAGTCTGAGCAGCCAGAGCGACAGCCATAGCTTAGAATATCTAGGCTTCCAAACAAACCAGCGCATGCCAGCGCATGTCTGAAAATTTCGCCATACGGCTTTAGCACCATGACTCCATTCTTGCAATCCGTCGCTTTTGCCAAACGTGGGCCCAGGTCACGTTTCCACGTTTCCCTACGGAAACCTAGCTAAAGAAACGCGGAAGAGAACTCCTTCCCGTCGCCCATTTTCTCTCGAACAAGCACGCACACACCCTTCCGTCGCCCTCGCGCACTCCATTCCACTGCCCATGCTCAAGACGGCCCCGTCGCCCACGCTCACTCCCTTCCCATCGCACTTACGTCAAACGTACCGTCGCCCACGATCAGTCACTTTCGTCGCCCACGGTCACTCCATCCCTTCGCCTACGCTCACTCCCATTCCATCGCCTTTGCGCAATCCCTCCCGTCGCACACTACCTCCCGCATCTCCGCCTCACCCATCTCCGCCGCACCCATCTCCGCCTCACCCATCTCCGCCTCACCCATCTCCGCCTCACCCCCTCCGCCCCATCCATCGCCGCCTCACCCTCTCCGCCTGTAACAACCACTGCCTTTATAACAACGGGCAACCGTGTGTTTAATATAAATCCTCCTTGACAATTTATATAAAATCAAGATACAAGGCTTCCAAGATTAAACTAATCCCACCAAGGGATAAACTAGCCTTAATAGTACTCTTGAAACTTGAGAGGAAAAAGAGAGCTTGAAGAAGGTTGATGAAGCTTAAGCAAGTAGGTAGGAGCTTCTTGTAGAGCTTATCCTTGAAGTAGACACAATTCTAGTTGTGTAGGAGAGCTTGTTAGAGAGAAACACAAGACTTAGAGAAATCCCATTTCCAAGTTGGTAAGTTGGAGTTGGGAAGTGGGAATGAGCTTGAAAGCTCCAACCCCTTCCACAATACCCCTTGGGGCTCTTCCCAACCATGGCTTCCATGGTTGGGGAGCAATTAGGCTTGGAGCCTAGGTGGCATATTTGTTTGGTTGGGAAAACCCAACTTAATTGTGTTGTATGGTTGTTTTGTGTTTGGTTGGATTGTAACACCAACTGGCACAATCTGATTGGTTTGAAATCCAACCTTCCCAATCTTCACTTTGATGGGTTGGAAGTTTCCAAGCCTCAAGGTTGAGGGTTGGGAAGGCCAAACCTCCCTTCCTCTCCAACTCAACCTTCCTCTCTCTCGTAGTTCAATTTCCCGTCGAGAACTTCTCGACATTGACTACGAGAGCTTCTTTACGTGCTTAGGTAGGTCTCGCGTTACACTCCTCCCCCCTCAGGTGGCAACGTCCTCGTTGCCTGGAGGTGCTTCCGAGGACGAGCGCTTCGAGCACGCCGTGTCACATTACGACCAGGGTCAACACCATCCACTGGCTGTGCGGCAGCTCGTCGGGCCAGATCTGCCATGTACGACTGAACTGCAGTTTCAGTCAAATGCTCTTCTGGTTCCCATGAGTTGTGTTCAGGCCCATAGCCTTTCCACTTAATGAGGAACTCTCGTACAGTCTTGCGGCCGCGTTGTCGATCACGGTGCATCAGCACTCGTTCGACTTCGTAAAATAGTTCCTCCCCCAGGACGATCGTTGGTGGCGGCAAGTACTTGCCCTCTGCAACGTACTTGTTCAACAGAGACACATGGAAGACGTTGTGAATCTGCAGTGTATCAGGTAACTTAAGCTTGTAAGCTACCACACCAACACGCTTGATCACCTCGAAAGGCCCAATCCATCGAGGGAACAGCTTTCGTGCTCCAGGGATTTTGAGACGAATGTTTTTCGTGCTCAACAAAACTTTGTCTCCGATTTCAAATGAGACTTCCCGGCGTTTCATGTCGGCGTAAGAATTTTGTCGCTGCTGAGAGAGTTGCAGCCAATGGCGAGCAGACTTAAGCGCTTCTTGCTGCTTGCCAACAAAGTCTTTAGCGGCTGAAATTTTTAATCCACCGATCCCATGCGTAGCAGGTGTTGTGGGATGCCGACCATGGTTCAAAATGAAAGGTTTCTCATGTGTACCCTCATGAACTGAATTGTTCACTGCGAATTCAACGACAGGTAACAACTCGTCCCAATCATCCTGAGTTGGGCCAATGAATGAACGAAGCATCTGCTCAAGTGTTCAGTTTGTTCGTTCCGTCTGCCCATCCGTTTGTGGGTGGAACGCCGATGACAACTTAAGCTTCGTTCCAAGTGTCCGAGTGACTTCTTGCCAGAACCGGCTTTTGAAGCGCGGGTCTCGGTCGGACACCAAGACACGTGGTAACCCATGTAAGCGGAAAACGTGCGCCACAAACAATTTGGCCGTATCCTCCGCAGATACGTCAGTTGTCGTAGCCACGAAATGTACCATTTTTGTCAGACGATCCACAAACACTAGGATCGCTGTATGGCCATCGCGAGTCTTGGGAAGATCCGTGATGAAGTCCAAGGATACGCTCTCCCAAGGTTCATTCGAGATTTCGAGTGGTTGAAGCAGACCACCAGGCTTCTTTGTGTCCGTTTTATTCCGTGCGCATGCATCGCAGCGCGCCACGAATTGCTGGACCTCAGTGCCTAATCTCGGCCACCAGTACACATCACTCAGGGCCCACCTGGTCTTCTTGACCCCTAGGTGTCCTCCGTACTTAGCGGCATGCACTTCTTCCAGAATATCATTCCGCAGGTTACCCACGTGAGGTACAACGATCTCATTCTTACGCCACCAGAGCTCATGCTCCCACTTGAGTTCCTTCATGTTTCGTGGGTTCTGAAACCAGGGGTCAATTTGATACCCTGTGCGGATGCGTTTCAGAAAACCACTGAAGGTAATCTCACTCACTCGAGCCGTTGCTAGGACACTGAAGCAAGCAGAAAATACCGCTGCATCCTCTGTGTCGTCTAGCCGTGTTGCTGCCCCTATCGGCTGTCTGCTGAGGGGGTCAGCCAGGTTCGTCGAACCTGCTCGGTATCGAATATCGAAAGTGAACCCGCTAAGGAGTTCCGCCCATCGGGCTTGGCGTCGAGTCAATGTGGCTTGGGTGGAAAAGTAGGTGTTCGGACAATGGTCGGTTGTAACCACAAAGTCCACACCCTCCAGATAACATCGCCATGTTCGTAGCGCATGAACGACCGCCAACAATTCCTGTTCGGACGTCGTATAGCGCTGCTCTGCCGGGGAGAGCTTTCGACTCTCAAATGCCACTGGTCTCCCCTCTTGCAAGAGGACAGCCCCAATCCCTATTAAGGAGGCGTCGGTAACGACCTCATAGGGTTTCGTCGGATCTGGTAAAACCAGTACCGGAGCGTTGGTCAGCATTCGCTTGACCTCGTCGAATGCCTTTTGGCATTGCTGTGTCCATTGCCAAGCGCTACTCTTGCGAGTGAGGGCCGTCAATGGAGCAACAATGGTAGAATAATTCTGCAAGAATCGACGAAAATAGTTTGCCAATCCCAAAAATGACCTGATTTGTCCCACATCTTGTGGCACTGGCCAGTTCTGTACTGCGGCAACTTTCTTTGGGTCTACTTTGAGACCGTCATGTCCCACGAGATGGCCAAGATATTCCAACTCGCGTTTGTAGAAATGACATTTCCACAGACGAGCATAGAACTTATGCTCTCGTAGTTTCCCCAACACCCACTTAAGGTGTCGTGTGTGCTCCTCTTCCGTCTTGGAATAAACCAAGATATCATCCAGATAGACCAGGACGAACTGTCCAATCGCCTCGCGAAAAACATCGTTCATGGCCCTCTGAAAAGAGGCAGGAGCATTGGTCAAGCCAAAGCTCAGCACTCGCCACTGAAAATGACCAAACGGTGAACGGAAAGCCGTTTTGTGTACATCTTCTTCAGTGATGCGCAATTGATGATACCCCTGTGCGAGGTCTAGTGCGCTAAACCACTGAGCACCTTGGAGTTTGTCAAACAGATCCTCAATCCTTGGCAAGGGGTATCTGTTTTTTACCGTTATCTTGTTCAGAGCACGGTAGTCTACGCACATGCGTAAGCCTCCGCCCTTTTTGTTCACGAACAAGATCGGCGCTCCGTAAGGCGATGCGCTTGGCTCAATCCATCCTTTCCTGAGGTACTCCTCAATTTGTTGTTTAGCCTCCTCGTACTCAGCTGGACTGAGGCGATACAGAGGTCTAAACGGTGGGAGTTTTCCAGGCTCCACCGGGATGGTGTGACCGACAGCACGGTCAGGAGGAAGACCATCTGGGATGGGCTCAAAAACCTCCGCAAACTCGTCTGCCAGTGCTTTCATCTGAGGCGGAAATTTTTCAACCCCAAGCTGTTCGTGTTCAGCATTCTCAAGCTGTACCACGAAGAATGTATCAGCTTGTCGAACATGCTGTCCAAACTCATTTGCAAGCGCAAAACTCACGTCGGGACGTTTCGACGTGGGTTGGTCATTCGTGATCAAGTCCTTGGGCACTTGCCACTGGACAGTATCACCATTCTTTGAGAATGAGACCGTATTGTCCTGGAAATCGAGTTTGACTTCATTTGCTCGGAGCCAATCCATTCCAAGGACAAGGTCGACGCCTGCGAGAAGGGGTAAAACATATGCGCAAATTTCTTCGCGATATCCCTCGATTTCCATGTTGATCCGTGTCCGCCCTTTGCTTGGGATAATGCTGTCATCACCAAGACGAATGGGGCAAGACGGTCCTTCAACGAAGATCATGCGTGCTGTGACCCACTTTTCATAAAAAAGGGACACAGTTGCACCCGTATCAACAAGGATTTTTGCACTTTCCCCGTTCACGCTACCCGCAAGCAACAAATTTTGTTGATGCTTTGGGCGAATAGGACATGCCACAATACTCGTCGAAGGTTTGTAGTACACCTTGACGTTGTGACGAGCACGTCCATGCGACTGAGAGTTGGTCCACCACACATGGTGTCCCTTGTCCCACGCCGCTAGGACCGGCCATCCACGAAGCGCATGGAACAATTCGCCTTTCACTGTGCGAGTCACCAACGCGACCGAAGTCAGGGGGTGCTCTTGAGTGCAACGACTCACAATTTCAATGGCAAAAGGCAGAATGTCCAATCCACAAAAAATAATTGAAAATTTATCTTGCATAGCTTCCATGGAAATGTTCTCAAGTGGGTACGATCGAGGGTAAAAAACAGAGTTTTAAAAGAAGAGGCAAACAAACAAGAGATTTTGCAATCAGCAAGCTTCTCTAGCTTTAATATATCATCATCACATAGCACATATGCCTCATCCACTCGATCTACTCCTCCAACTAGGTACCCACACCCTAGTTGGGCTTCTGAAAATCCTTCTTTCCAGAAGGTCCAGCGCCGCCTGGCTTAGGCTTCCCAGAGTACTTGATTGGGTTCTTGTTACGGCAGTGCCTTTGGATGTGTCCAATGTATCCATAGCCGTTACACCGCATCTTGGAGAAGTCCGGCTTGTTAGGGCCATGACCTCCCCCCCCGTTAGCCTTCTTGGCCTGTGGTCCAGGCTGGTGCTCACGCTGCTGGAATGGTCGCTTGTTCGAACCGCCTCCGCCATTGGCATTCTGGGGTCGGTTCCCACGACCACCAGAGCCCTCAGCACGGGGCTGCTGGTCCGGTTTTGCAGGACCATAAATGTACGTGCGGATGATGTTGTCAGTTTTGATCACCTGCTCCTTCATCTCCTTGTAAGTTGTCCAATTGGTCATGCCACCGGTCATGTGTGCCTCCTGTAGCTTGACTGGGAGGCCTTTCATGAAGACGTGCATCATCTCCTCCTCGGACAAGGGCTTCTGGAGCAAGCGTGCTGCGGCCTCAAACTCGACCGCATATTCCTGCACCGAACGGTCACGACACTTGATCCTCTCAAGGCGTCCGCGCAGTTCCAGGTCGGACTTCTTGAACATGAATGCCTCTGTCAGCGCGGTGCAGAACTCCGGCCATTCAAACGGTCCCTGCGCCTGCTTCTTAGCGCCATACACTGCCCTGCGGGCCACCTCGTCCAATGCACGAGTGGCTGCAGTAACGCGAGCCTCAGGACGCACATTCGCAAGGGCCATGGTGTCATTCACCAGGTCAAGCCAAGGCTGCACCTCCGTCTTGCTATGGTTAAACTCAGGCAGAGGCGCCGAGAGAGACCCAAAGGGCGAGGTCTCGGTTGGAGGTGGCTGGTGCATAGCCGTCGCAGTGCCTACCGGCGTAGGTGCGGGCGAAGCAGGAGCCGGCTGAGCAGCAGGAGCGGGCCTACGCCCAGGAGGAGGCTGGTAAATGCCCTCCCTCCTAAGCTCTATGAACTTGTCATTGAGCCTGTTGAATGATGCTTGCAGATTAGTGCAAGTATTCTGAAGCCACTTAATTTGGCGGTTTTTAGTGCCCAGGCTGCGACGGAAGTCAGTAACCTCCTTCATGGTAATGCTCAGCCTAGCCTCGAGGTCCTGAGTGTGCTTTTTGAGTCCATCAATGGACGTCTGCTGCTGCAAGATGGTGATATTCTGAGTTGCCACTTTGGCCTGGAGCTGGACAATCTCCTCGGAGATAGGATAACTCATGCCTTCACCCTCAGTGAAGTCATTGTCATCACCAGTGTTCTCCTTTCCACCGGTGTTGTGCTCCTCCCCATTGTTATCAGCTTCACCATGGTTATCAGCTTCACCATGGTTATTAGCTTCAACATGGGTATCAGCCTCAACATAGTTATCCTCGTCCTCCAGATCCAGGTTTTCAATGTCATCCAGCTCAATGTCAGCCATTGCCTCATCTTGATTGAGGTCAATCTCAGCAGCATTGTTCACCACCTCATTAGGTGCAGTGGGCCCTTCCTCCCTTGCCATATCCTTCTCTTGGCCAGATGCCATAAGGATTAAGGGAGTATGTAAGATCTGGGTTGATTCTATTTAAGACCTTTTACCACTTCAATGGTAAAGCAAGAAATTCTTATAAAAGAAATTTCTTCTACAGAATAATCCAACGTTACCAGAGGTAACAGATTTGTTGCCAACACTCCCAATCACCTAAGTGAAAGGGCAGGGTCTATCCAAATCTCAATAAAGAGAACTTGTATAACCCTCAACAAATCCACCAGATCCAAGTTTATACTCCACTACTCAAAAGTAGAGAGTCTTCCACCAAAAGGTGGGCAAGAGAGATAAATCTCTCTTCTAAGCTTGAAGTTGCAGTTGTAGATCTTGTAGATCTTGAACTCTTCAAACTTCCAGATCTTGAGTGTTCTCTTAAAGAGAAACCACAACTCTAAGATCTATAAGAAAAAAAATCTCTAGGGGCAAAATCCCCACTAGGCTTAGGATAACCCTAGCTCTAGATACCAATGTAACAACCACGGCCCTTATAACAACGGGCAACCGTGTGTTTAATATAAATCCTCCTTGACAATTTATATAAAATCAAGATACAAGGCTTCCAAGATTAAACTAATCCCACCAAGGGATAAACTAGCCTTAATAGTACTCTTGAAACTTGAGAGGAGAAAGAGAGCTTGAAGAAGGTTGATGAAGCTTAAGCAAGTAGGTAGGAGCTTCTTGTAGAGCTTATCCTTGAAGTAGACACAATTCTAGTTGTGTAGGAGAGCTTGTTAGAGAGAAACACAAGACTTAGAGAAATCCCATTTCCAAGTTGGTAAGTTGGAGTTGGGAAGTGGGAATGAGCTTGAAAGCTCCAACCCCTTCCACAATACCCCTTGGGGCTCTTCCCAACCATGGCTTCCATGGTTGGAGAGCAATTAGGCTTGGAGCCTAGGTGGCATATTTGTTTGGTTGGGAAAACCCAACTTAATTGTGTTGTATGGTTGTTTTGTGTTTGGTTGGATTGTAACACCAACTGGCACAATCTGATTGGTTGGAAATCCAACCTTCCCAATCTTCACTTTGATGGGTTGGAAGTTTCCAAGCCTCAAGGTTGAGGGTTGGGAAGGCCAAACCTCCCTTCCTCTCCAACTCAACCTTCCTCTCTCTCGTAGTTCAATTTCCCGTCGAGAACTTCTCGACATTGACTACGAGAGCTTCTTTACGTGCTTAGGTAGGTCTCACGTTACACCGCCTCACCCCAGCTCCGTCCGCACGCACTTTCAATCGTCGCGCGCGACGACTGTCCTTCCGCCGCCCACGCTCTCCCCCTCCGGCCGCGTTCAATCACTACCCTCCTGTCGCGACGGTCCCTTCTGAAGCACTTGCTCAATCTCCTTGAGCGGAGAACATTACTCACCCCCCTCGCTCGGCCACGCGATTTCCCTCTCGTCGCCCACGCTCACTCCTCCCCGCCGCCCACGCTCTCCCCTCATCCGAAACCCACGCTCACTTCCCTCCGTCGCCCACGCTCACCACCTGCCCCTCGCCTTCTCTCATTCCCCTCCGTCGCCTATGCTCCCTCCCCATCCCTTCCCTCCCCATCCCCGCCTCCCCATCCCTTCCCTCCCCATCCCTTCCCTCCCCATCCCTTCCCTCCCCATCCCCGCCTCCCCATCCGTTCCCTCAGTTGCTTGACCTCCCAGTCTCTCATCTTACCATACCTCTTCTCCCCATCCCTCACCTCCCCATCCCTCAACTCCCCATCCCTCACCTCCCCATCCCCCATTTCCCCATCCCTCATCTCCCCATCCCTTCCCTCCCCATCCCTCACCTCCCCATCCCTCACCTCCCCATCCGTCATCTCCCCATCCCTCATCTCCCCATCCCCCATCTCCCCTTCCCTCCTCTCCCCATCCCCCATCTCCCCATCCCTAATCTCCCCATCCCTCATCTCCCCATCCCGCATCTCCCCATCCCTCTTCTCCCCATCCCCCATCTCCCCTTCCCCATCTCCCCAATCTGCCCCACCCCATTCCGCCCCACCCCTTTCTGCCATGCCCTCTAACTTCCCATCCCCTTTTCCTCGTTTCTCCATCCCTCCCTCCCGCCCTGTCCTATCCCCTCCTCCCGCCCTGTCCTATCCCCTCACCCCACCCTGTCCTATCCCCTCACCCCACCCTGTCCACACCCCATCTCCTCCACACCCCATCCCCTCCACACCCCATCTCCTCCTCACCCCATCTCCTCCTCACCCCATCTCCACCACACCCAATCTCCTCCACACCCCATCTCCTCCTCACCCCGTCTCCTCCTCACCCCATCTCTTCCTCACCCCATCTCTTCCTCACCCCATCTCTTCCTCACCCCATCTCTTCCTCACCCCATCTCTTCCTCACCCCATCTCTTCCTCACCCCGTCTCTTCCTCACCCCGTCTCTTCCTCACCCCATCTCTTCCTCACCCCATCTCTTCCTCACCCCATCTCTTCCTCACCCCATCTCTTCCTCACCCCATCTCTTCCTCACCCCATCTCCTCCTCACCCCATCTCTTCCTCACCCCATCTCTTCCTCACCCCATCTCTTCCTCACCCCATCTCTTCCTCACCCCATCTCTTCCTCACCCCGTCTCTTCCTCACCCCGTCTCTTACTCACCCCATCTCTTCCTCACCCCATCTCTTCCTCACCCCATCTCTTCCTCACCCCGTCTCTTCCTCACCCCGTCTCTTCCTCACCCCATCTCTTCCTCACCCCGTCTCTTCCTCACCCCATCTCTTCCTCACCCCATCTCTTCCTCACCCCATCTCTTCCTCACCCCATCTCTTCCTCACCCCATCTCTTCCTCACCCCATCTCCTCCTCACCCCATCTCTTCCTCACCCCATCTCTTCCTCACCCCATCTCTTCCTCACCCCATCTCTTCCTCACCCCATCTCTTCCTCACCCCGTCTCTTCCTCACCCCGTCTCTTACTCACCCCATCTCTTCCTCACCCCATCTCTTCCTCACCCCATCTCTTCCTCACCCCGTCTCTTCCTCACCCCGTCTCTTCCTCACCCCATCTCTTCCTCACCCCGTCTCTTCCTCACCCCATCTCTTCCTCACCCCATCTCTTCCTCACCCCATCTCTTCCTCACCCCATCTCTTCCTCACCCCATCTCTTCCTCACCCCGTCTCTTCCTCACCCCGTCTCTTCCTCACCCCATCTCTTCCTCACCCCATCTCTTCCTCACCCCATCTCTTCCTCACCCCATCTCTTCCTCACCCCATCTCTTCCTCACCCCATCTCTTCCTCACCCCATCTCTTCCTCACCCCTCACCCCTTGTGCTTTTCTGCACCAAGGAGCTGCTTGGAGCGCGGTGGACAGATGGCGGCGGGCAGGGTAGCGCAGCAGAGGCGGACGTGGTGCTGCTGGAGTCCCTTCCCCCCCTCCTCCTCTCTCCCTCCCTGCATCCCTCACATTACCTGCATCCTCCCTCCCTCCCTGCATCCATCCCTCGCTGCGTCTGCTCCTCCCTTCCTCCTCCTTACGTCCCTTCCTCGGTTCTTCCCTCCCTATGTTCCTCCCTTCGACTGGTCGTCTTTCTGTTTGTCTCCTACCATAATAATAATCCACAAGTGTCTCTTTTTTTCTTCCTCTTTGCAGGTTCTTGCTTGTCAGTTGTCATTCTTTTGAATGCTCACCGGCTGCTTCAGCCATGAGTATCTGATAATCTGATTTCACAATCATGTTTGTGCAAGTCTCCCCCTCCCCCGTATGCATTTGGTTCTGAAATGTGGATTGTTTGGTAGTACTAAAGGTTTGATAAATACAGTAGGCATGCCAATGTTGGATGTTTATTATTACATACTAGATTTTGATCCTCAGAGCAGAGCAGTTTGACCATTGACCTCCTAAAAAGTGCAACAATCTAGTAAAAAAGAACAAAAGTCAATGCAGTGACTGTTCCCACTCTTCTCTCCAAACACATCAGACTAAACCAAGACTTGCGGTGACACACCCCACACCTGGTGTTGGTGCTGGGCACCTGTACACTGCATGAGGGGTGACTGGGGTGAGTGAACGGGGAAACACAGTAGCCAGGGGTCGGATAAGGGAATGAGCAGCAGGAAACAGAATGAGAAAGGAAAAACAGAGTGCAGGGGATGGGGGAGAGCAGAAGGGAAGAAATTGAGCAGGGAGAAATAGAGTGAGCAGGGGGGAAGAGAGTGAGCAGGGAGGAAGAGAGTGAGGAGGGGGGAAGAGAGCAGGGGGAAAGGACAGTGAGCAGGGGGAAAGGACAGTGAGCAGGGGGAAAGGACAGTGAGCAGGGGGAAAGGACAGTGAGCAGGGGGGAAAGGAGTGAGCAGGGGGAAGAGAGTGAGGGGGGGGAAGTGAGCAGGGGGAAAGACAGTGAGCAGGGGGAAAAGAGTGAGCAGGGGGGGGAAGAGAGTGAGCAAGGGGGAAGAGAGTGAGGATGGGGGAAGTGAGCAGGGGGAAACATAGTGAGCAGGGGGAAACATAGTGAGCAGGGGGGGAAGAGAGTGAGCAGGGCGGAAATGGGATGCGAGAAGGAGGATTCAGAGTGACCGGGGGGGCATCTAAAAGACAATAGATGAGGGAAAAAGGAGTGTGAGCACGGGGAGATGAGGGATAAGGAGGCGAGGCATGGGGAGATGATGGATGGGGAGGTGAGGGATGGGGAGGTGAGGGATGGGGAGTTGAGGGATGGGGTAGGCGCCGCGATGGGCTTAGGGCAATCTGGAGGGCATTGTGCTGGCGCTGTGGACGGGAGCGTGAGGGCGCTGGGGTAGAGAATGTGAGGGCGCAAGGGTGAAACAGAGGGAGCAAGGGTGAAGGGAGGGCGACGGGGGGAAGGAGGGAAGGGGACGGGGGGAAGGAGGGAAGGGGACGGGGGGAAGGAGGAAAGGGGACGGGGGGAAGCAGGGAAGGGGATGGGGGGGAGCAGGGAAGGGGATGGGGGGGAGCAGGGACGGGGATGGGGGGGAGCAGGGAAGGGGATGGGGGGAAGCAGGGAAGGGGATGGGGGGAAGCAGGGAAGGGGATGGGGGGAAGCAGGGAAGGGGATGGGGGGAAGCAGGGAAGGGGATGGGGGGAAGCAGGGAAGGGGATGGGGGGAAGCAGGGAAGGGGATGGGGGGATGGTGGGAGGGGGACGGGGGGAAGGAGGGAAGGGGACGGGGGGAAGCAGGGAAGGGGATGGGGGGAAGCAGGGAAGGGGATGGGGGGGAGCAGGGAAGGGATGGGGGCACGCAGGGACGGGGATGGGGGGAGGCAGGGGAGGGGACGGGGGAAAGCAGGGAAGGAACTGGGGGGAAGCAAGTCGGAGGATGGGGGGAAGCAGCGCAGGGGATACGGGGAAACAGGGAGGAAGGGAAGGGGAGATGAGGGATGGGGAGTTGAGGGATGGGGAGTTGAGGGATGGGGAGGTGAGGGATGGGGAGGTGAGGGATGGGGAGTTGAGGGATGGGGTAGGCGCCGCGATGGGCTTAGGGCAATCTGGAGGGCATTGTGCTGGCGCTGTGGACGGGAGCGTGAGGGCGCTGGGGTAGAGAATGTGAGGGCGCTGGGGATGGGTCGTTACCTGGAAATGGGATGAGTGTGAGGGAATGCGATGACGCCGGGGTAGGGAGTGTGAGAGCGCTGTGGGAGAGAATATGAGAGGTCTGTGGGAGAGAATATGAGAGCGCTGTGGGAGAGAATATGAGAGCGCTGTGGGAGAGAGTATGAGAGCGCTGTGGGAGAGAATATGAGAGCGCTGTGGGAGAGAATATGAGAGCGCTGTGGGAGAGAATATGAGAGCGCTGTGGGAGAGAATACTATGAGAGCGCCGCGCTCTTTTGTGGAAAGGCAATAGCTTAGAGGCATCGTGCCTGTGAGGCCGATTAGGAAAGGTGAGAAGCTGACCTTTCACGGGAGACAGTGCTGTGTGGTGCAAACGACGGGAAGGATCACAGGGAAGTCGACGGAAATGAGATGTGGGGTCGACGGGAAAGGGTAAGGCGGCCGACGAGAAGGGAATCTGCAGTCGACGGGCTGGCGAAATTTAGGCGATCTCGCCTATAGCTGGCGCATCGAAGAGGAAATGCGACGGAATCGACGCGGAAATGTGGGTGAAGCGAAGGGGAAATGCGGGCGGGTCGAACGGGACCTGCATGTGACGGGTAGGGGATATTAGCGCTACGGGAATGGCACGCTCACGCGACGAAAATGCTAAATGCGGGCGTCGCCGTGTATCGGAACTGCACGCGCTGTAACCCTAAAATTGTGGGCGACGGGGCTTGAACTTGCGTGCGATGTATAGGGGAAACGCGGCTGGTATGCCGTCGTTTTGGTCGCATGGTGACGTTTTCCTACTTGAAGTCTAACTATTAGCTTCTAACCTGGTGTGAGGTATGTCGAGGTGCTTGTGTTCACTCTTATATAGCATATGCAGGCACATTCCCGTCCCGAGTCATTTGCTTGGTGCGACACCAGGTTGTCGCACTTTGTTTTCGCTAGGGTGCAACTTTCGTTAAACTTCCGAACCTCAGTTGCTTGACCCCCAACCCAACCCAAACCTAGCGTTGACTCGCTTTTGTAATTCAGGCTGCGGGTTTAAAGCCCAAGACCTGAATTACAAAAAAAGGAAGGCAAACTGTGCACAGTTTGCCTTCCGAGCCCACAGTTGACTTCCCGAGCCTCTCTGGTTACCAAATGACGCCCCGCAAAGAACCAGAGAGTCGTAGAGCAGCACAAAATTGGTTGGCGAGAGTCCCAACCGCTCCCTCCTGAAGGGAGTAGGGGAAGGCAAGCTGTGCGCAGTTTGGAAATTGTGGTAATTCAGGTCATGCTCGACCACATAGTATCCACGTGAAACTCCTAGGTAGAACAGAAAGCCAATAGAGCCCGAGCCCAATAGTTTGGTAGGAAAAAAAACACCAAACAGATTCTATGCGATGGCGCCACTTTTCACTCAGCGTCGTCGTCGAAACCCTGCGCGACCGCGAAAACGTCAGTTTGCGGCGCATGCATCTCCTCTCCGAGGTCGATATTAGGTAATCGTACGGTCGATCGCTGCCATTTCCCGCGCATTCGCCCTATGTTTGCCTCAGCTATGTTCCCCCACCGTCCTTCCTTGTCGGCGTCACACCCTGCCACACACGCTTCCCCTCGTCGACGTCGCCGTCCCCAGTTTCCAGATGCGTTGCGACGATACTGCCGTCACGCAATGTTGCTCGCTCGAGCTGTAACGCATAACAACCGGTTCGCCTAAATAACACCCTCGCTTTGGCAGTGGATATCGGGACGTTATACTACTACTCGTCAAAGGACAATGCTCTAGCCGTTAAGTGAGAATGCTCTACTAGCCAGCAAGCGAGAATGCTCTAGCCGTCAAGCGGCATCACGTTCCGCGTTTGACGCGAGCAATGATGCCACATTTACCATGTGGCATCATTGCTCGCGTCAAACCCGTCGTAAGACGGGCTTATAAAAGAACGCACTTAAAATCACAAAAAAAAAACCCGGGCTTATAACAAATGCCCACAAAAGGGTCTATAATAAGGTGTTGGAATTATCGATAGGTTATCATAACATTCCCAAAGGTTCTCTTCTAGTGCACCACCTCATAGCGAAGCAGTTTCACTGCACCAGTATCGCAACATGCTCGTAAATGTTACGAATATTGAAATACTATTGTGCACTCCTAACCGCAGCTAAGTGAAACACGCAGTATCGGGGATGAACACGAAGAGTCAAAGTTGACTCGAAGCGTCAGACACAGACGGTTGGAAAAGATCTGGACTGTCGGAGCAGACGGCGTCGGACAGCTGCAGGTTCGAGGGAATTGGCGGGAACAGTTTCGTAACTGTTCGAGTCGCACGGTTGGTTTGAATTCGAATAAGGGAATGTACCCCTTAGAGTACATGGCTAGCTAGGTCGTTTCAAATTCCTCTGTACCACTATTTATATTCTCTGTATCTCTATGTTTTAATTAATCTCAAGCATTTTACATTCACTCTGCTATTGAGGTCAAGGGCCCACCACTACTACCTAGACGTGTGCGAACCTTCCTGAGGTGATCCTAGGGTCGATCAATCTCTAATCGTAACATGGTATGAGAGCGACTCGGGAATCCTTCGCACTGCCACCTCCGAAATCTTCGACGAACGAAAAGTGGCGTCCGGCACTCGCTCGCGCATGAGAATGGCCGGAGGATCTGGTGGTCAGACGAATCTGACGGCTGAAGCGCAGCCCAACCCGGCTGCGACAAGCGAGGAAACGACGACGATTGGGACCGCCGTCCTCCCACAATTGCTTCAGCCACTTACCAGCCTAGAGCAAGGACTCAGACATTGCGGACTGGCGATGCGGAAACATCCTCGCAACCCTCTCAACCGGCCCCAAACGGCCAGAACGCCGCGCCGCACACCTTCTCCCTCGACACAAATGGCTCGACCCCAAAGACTTCCCGTCCCAGTGGAGATTCTGCTGCAAGACGCTCAGATCTTTCATTACTTTGACGGGAGCTACGCGGAACCAACTGAGGATAACGACGACGCCAGGACAAGGTACTACAACGAGTCCCTGATGGCGTACGGTGTCCTCCTGCAAAACATGACGCCGGCGGAGCAGCTCAGTATTCGATCGTAGTCCCCTACTCTAGCCCTCGATGTCTGGCGGCACCTGAACGGCGTCTACCAACCGAAGGATTCGGTCTCTTCGAGCCGCCTGCTCCAGCACCTACTGCAGACAAAAATGGCCCCAGGGGAGAAGGCCAATAGCTACATCAACCGCTGTTGGAGCCTTCGCGATCAAATCGCGAAGTTGGGAAGCTCGATCTCAGAAGAAATTTTCGTCAACATCGTGCTTCAAGGGCTCGGCCCAGAGTGGCGGCCCTGCAAGGCGCTTCTCCGACAGCAGGGGGTCATCTCGGAGGCCGCCCTTTGCGCCGCCCTTCTCGTCGAACAGAGGGATATGGATCAGCAGCGACCAGCGCCGCGACGAGAACGAGAACGCCTTGCCTTCTACACCGACAACACAGAAGAGCGACGGCCGCGGCGCCTCTACTGCAAAATTTGCAGAAATTTTGGGCACTTGACAGATCGATGCAAATCCCGATTGCCCTCGCCAGACCAATCCGAGCAACTGGTCCGCTCGACAAGACGCACGAGGCGACATGCGTCCAGCCCAAGGGTATCAACCCCCATCGCGCAACCCGAACCCAGTGATTCAGCATCAGCAGCAGCAGCCATCACCGCCTGCCCCAGTAAGCAATGTCATGGGGAACATGGCTATGACAGTCGGATCCCATCGTCGCCGCGTGCGCTGACCATCACCTGAGCCAGCTCCGCATCCCATTGGCACATTCTCCAACAACAACCCGTTCAGCACGCACCACGACTTCACCGACGACGACGATCAAGATTGGAACTTGCCAATCCCGTTGCTTGAAAGTCTCCCGCACGTACCCGACATGCGGGCAGCGCCATTCGATTGGCTCTCGCGCGAGCAGTTTCTAAAGTTCGACACACCTCACATCGTCACACCGCGTCTGGCGCTGCTCGCGCATGACGATAGGAAGCGCTACAACACCTGGTACCTGGACAGCTGCTGCGGCCAGCATATGGTGGGCTCCGAGCGTTTTATCTCCAACGCCGTCTCCACCCCTACGGTCACCTACGTCACCGTGGCCAACAATACGCGCCTGCGCGCAAGCGCGCAAGGCATCATCGTGCTCAAGGCACCAGGAAGCCGCACGCACGTCTCCCTCAATGACGTGCTTATCGTCCAGAATCTGCGCTTCAACCTGCTTTCCGCCGCACAGCTCATGGATTGCGGCGTCGACCTCTACACGGATCACGAGTCACGCGACATCCTGCTGCACTATGAATCGCCGGCAATTTCCCGCAGGCAGATCGGAAGAGCGCACTCCGAAAATAAAGTGGACATCCTGGACTTCGACATTCCCGACTGCAGCGGCGATTCGAACGAGTTAATCGATCTCGTTCCACTGCGCTTCGAGCACATTCACTGTAGGGACTGGAAACACCCTGACGGAAGACTGTGGGTACCACATCATCCTCACCCACGCGAACTGGCGCTGCACGATCCTGACCCAGACGGCATCTGCAGGGATTGCCACACGTCCACAGCGTCAACTAGCGCGATTGTCGGCCGTGAACTTGCCGCCATCGCCGAAGCAGAACGCCATGCACCGCCAGAAGAAGGGATGTCGCAACTGGAACTTGAAATCACCACGCGCGGCGTGTTCGGCACGCCAGAACATCCCCTCATCGGACCAGCATCGCAGCATCTCCAAGGCATGTTGCGCGGCATCGGCGTCGACACTTCTGATGCGCATGGCGAGCCGCGACCTTACACACGAGAGAAGTTCCTGGAAATTTACTCTCATCGACCGACTCCACAAAGAAGCTCACCGTGGCGCAAGAAGAAGAATTGGCACGTCGCGAAGCCAAGGAACATAGCTGACAGAGCCTCGCCGAGGCACGCGGCACATTCACATGTGTCGCATGGGGCGCCGAAGAGGAGGAAAGTGCCTCCAATGAAGGGGGGTGGGGAAGCGTCGGCGGATGGGGAACGAGCAACACCGGCGGCGCCTGGGCAACCGCAAGCAACGGCTGGGGCGTTGCAACTGGCGCCGAAGGCAGCGGCTGGGGAGCTTCCCGCGAAGAACAAAAGGGGGGAGAAGAAGGAAGCTGAGGCGCAACCCGCAGTTGTTCCCCTTGGTCGCCCCCCGCGCCATGCTCCACCTGCGTTACCTCCTCCTGAAATTCCGCCGCACCGCGATCCCTGGGACACCATCGATTGGGGCAACGAGCCGTCAACTCCGCGCCGCACCGTCTACGGACCTGCCCCTGAGCCACGCGAACCCACCTTCGTCCCTGGAACTATCTCTGGGACTAATATTTCCCTCTCCAAAATTTGCGACAGAGAGTTCTTGGCGCTAATGCTAACTACCGCTAACAACGAAAACGAAGCAGCAGAGGAAGCAGCAGCTGAACCTGCCCCAGTACCTGAAGAAGGCCTCGAAGAAGCCCGCGCGCGCTACATGCGCACCTCCAGTTTCCGCGCTGACGATGCGCCTCGGACATCCCTCACGCGCGACGCTGAAAAACTGCATCGACGCAGGGGTTTTTGCTCCCGGCGCACTCCTGCGCCCAGACGGCACTGAAGTAAGGGGCGCGACACATCCGCGCAACAGCACTGCCTGCCCTGAAGCTGCACTAAGCCACCAACCGTTCCCACTGCTCGAACCAGGAACCAATCGCTACCCCAAGCTGTACAAGATGTACAGTGACTTCTTGAACATGGGACACTGCGGAGTCAACGACGAGCTATATACGCTCACCTTCATCGACGCAGGGACACGCTACGTGTGGGTCGTGAACGTGGAAACGCGCAGCAGAGCGGATGAAGTATTTCGCCTCTGGCTAGCGC